GGAGGATTTTTATGGGATTTTCGGGATTTTTTTTGGTGGATTTTCGGGATTTTTTTGGGGTGGATTTTGGGGATCTTTGGGAGGATTTTTATGGGATTTTGGGGATTTTTTTGGGTGTATTTGGGAGATTTTTGGGGATTTTTTTGGGGTGTATTTGGGAGATTTTTGGGGATTTTTTTGGGTGCATTTCGGGGATTTTTTGGGGTGGATTTTGGGGATTTTTGGGAGGATTTTTATGGGATTTTGGGGATTTTTCCTGGGTGGATTTCAGGGATTTTTGGGGATTTTTTGGGGTGGATTTTGGGGATTTTGGGGACGTTTTTTTATGGGATTTTTGGGGATTTTTTGGGGGTGTATTTCAGGGATTTTTGGGGATTTTTTTGGGGTGGATTTTGGGGATTTTTGGGAGGATTTTTATGGGATTTTCGGGATTTTTTGGGGTGGATTTTTGGAAATTTTTTGGGTGTATTTCAGGGATCTTTGGGGATTTTTTTTTGGTGTATTTGGGGGATTTTGGGGAATTTTTTGGGGTGCATTTCGGGGATTTTTTGGGAATTTTTTGGGGTGCATTTTGCGGATTTTTTGGGAGGATTTTTATGGGATTTTCAGGATTTTTTCTGGGTGGATTTTCGGGAATTTTTTTGGTTGCATTTGGGGATTTTTGGGATTTTTCCTGGGTGGATTTTGCGGATTTTTGGGAGGATTTTTATGGGATTTTCGGGATTTTTGTGTGGATTTTTGGGGATTTTTTGGGGTGTAGTTCAGGGATTTTTGGGATTTTTTTGGGGTGTATTTTGGGGATTTTTGGGGATTTTTTTTGGGTGAATTTTGGGGATTTTGGGGATTTTTTTGGGTGCATTTGGGGGCTTTTTGGGAGGATTTTTATGGGATTTTCGGGATTTTCCTGGGTGGATTTCAGGGATTTTTGGGGATTTTTTTGGGTGTATTTTGGGGATTTTTTGGGGTGGATTTTGTGGATTTTTGGGAGGTTTTTTTATGGGATTTTTGGGGATTTTTTTTGGGGTGTATTTCAGGGATTTTTGGGGATTTTTTTGGGTGAATTTTGGGGATTTTTTGGGGTGGATTTTGTGGATTTTTGGGAGGTTTTTTTATGGGATTTTGGGGATTTTTTGGGGGTGCATTTCAGGGATTTGGGGGGATTTTTTGGGGTGCATTTTGGGGATTTTTTGGGAATTTTTTTTGGTGCATTTCGGGGATTTTTGGGAGGATTTTTATTGGATTTTGGGGATTTTTTTGTGTGGATTTTTGGGGATTTTTTGGGGTGGATTTTGTGGATTTTGGGGATTTTTCCTGGGTGCATTTCGGGGATTTTTGGGGATTTTTTGGGGTGGATTTTTGGGGATTTTTGGGAGGATTTTTATGGGATTTTCGGGATTTTTTTGGGTGGATTTTTGGGGATTTTTGGGAGGATTTTTTATGGGATTTTCGGGATTTTTTGGGGTGGATTTTTGGGAATTTTTTTGGGTGCATTTGGGGGATTATTTGGATTTTTTTGGGGTGTAGTTCAGGGATTTTTGGGGATTTTTTGGGGTGGATTTTGTGGATTTTTGGGAGGTTTTTTTATGGGATTTTTGGGATTTTTTTGGGGTGGATTTGGGGTGTTTTTGGGGGGTCCCTGACGCCCCCCGCCCTCCCCCCAGGCCCCCCCCAAGGCCAAGGCCGCCTTCGTGAGGGACAAACCTCACCTGAACGTGGGAACCATCGGGCACGTGGACCACGGGAAAACAACGCTGACAGCGGCCATCACCAGAGGTGGGGAAAAATTGGGGGAAAAATGGGAAAAAATGGGAAAAAACGGGGAAAAAATGGGGTGAAAATGGGGAAAAATGGGAAAAAACGGGGTGAAAATGGCAAAAAATGGGAAAAAATGGGGTTAGAATGAGTTAAAATGGGGTTAAAATGGGGAAAAATTGAGTTAAAATGAGTTAAAATGGGGTTAAAATGGGAAGAAATGGGATTAAAATGGGGTTAAAATGAGTTAAAATGGGGTGAAAATGGGAAAATCGGGCACGTGGACCACGGGAAAACAACGCTGACAGCGGCCATCACCAGAGGTGGGGAAAAATTGGGGGAAAACGGGAAAAAACGGGAAAAAACGGGGTGAAAATGGGGAAAAATGGGGAAAAATGGGATTAAAATGGGGTGAAAATGGGGAAAAAATGGCTTTAAAATGAGTTAAAATGGGGTTAAAACGGGAAAAAACGGGGTGAAAATGGGGAAAAACGGGGAAAAAACGGGGTGAAAATGGCAAAAAATGGG